CATGGGTCCATTTTATTTCGATCTACAACTGCGTAATTTTCCCTGAAAAAAACTATATCCAAGAAACAACAAATATAACAAAAAAAGCAAATGAGACTGTAAAATGACAGAAATATAGCAAAGACCTACAGGTAAATAAGTATATTGAGTTCAGATGAAAAGGGCTCTAATCCCTAGACCCGAAAGGGCTCTAATCCACTAATCCCGTTATATTATTCAAAAGTAGATGGGAAAATTTCTAAGAACTGTTCTTTGCAGAAATTAAATCTGAAGAGAAGAAAGTCTTTGGTATTTCTGGGTGTTGAACGGCAATTTGAAATTACCAGGCTGTCCACCAATAGTTTTTGTGAGAATTTCTTAAAAAAATGAACAGGTACAAACTTGTTTACGAAACCCTTAACCTAGCAGTGTCAATTCTCAACACAGCACTTGCTTTTGCCCTACCTGGAGCTTGCTTACACAGGAAATATTCCGTTCCCTACCCCAAAATAAAAACTGGGAGATGGATTAATTCAAAACAGCCATTCCTTTTTAAATTCCCACAATAAACTCACTCCAGGACAATTTAATATACAGGTAAGCTCTTAATACCGCGGCCCATTTTTCTAAGTGGTTTATTTGGCACAAATGGTTATAACTGTTAGAAAGGTTAAAAGCCATTGTTTTGGCTGAGATCATGCAAAATCCCACCCAGAAAATAATTTGTCTGGGGAGGTTAGGGTCAGCTAAAAAGCAAAGTGGGATTAGAAGCAAAGTTAAATTCAACCTGAACTAATGCAGGTGTTATTGGCACCTGCTGCAGGGTTATAATCTGTGCAGTGGTATGAATAGACCATAATTTTGTGGCTGGAAACTGGGGGGGAAAACAAGACAGGAAGGAAAGGTGTATTGGTGGTCAACAGTCTTATCACTTGATTAATTTAGGCCCCATGTCATTACTTGCTAAACGTAGCAGCTACTTGCAGTAGTCAAGTCATCCAAGGCATACCTGTATTAAATCACTGAAATTTTATCCTCTGAAACAGCAATTTAAATATGCTTAAAATGAAATGGCGAAAAACCCCAGGGCGTGCCTAAGATAAGGTCTTTGTTATATTCAGGCCTAAAGTTTTAAAACAGGTATTTTAACAGGCTATTTTAGTAGAACTAACAGTTTAATTCATATTAAGTATTTCTTCTCGTTTAACGATAGTTAAGCCTGGCTTCCCTAATGCTTTGCCATACCAGTACAATCGAGATGTTACAGGTTGTAAGCCTCCACAATTCTTTTACCGGAAACAGGAAGACTTGATTTCAGAGTTATTTTGAACTAATACTTCTCGATACATTTATTTTATAAATAAGTAAAAAAACAAAAATAAGTAATTCTGTGAAGGGATTTAGAATGTTAGTAAGTCTCAAATAATGCACCCACATATTATTTCTTTTCTGGATTTTGGTGTATTTAAGAGTTTTTACTACTAATATTATCAACATCGAAACAAACAGTGCAATATTTTAAACAGATCTTTAAAAAAAAAAAAAACAGTTATGGGTCCTTATTTCAGATCTTCAGGATATTTATAAAACTTTGTTAAAAAAAAAAAATCCAGAAGCTAAGTATTGTTATTTCATGTTTAACCAAATTTAAAAGATGCAACTGAGAGCTACGAAAGATTTACTGCTTCAGGTAACTAGTAACCTTCTTTCCCTGATGCTGCCATACAAATGTAATCATGGAAATTTCTGGTTGTTAACACTTTTTTCAAACTCTTCCAGATGATGTTATGAGCTAAAATCTACTTTTAAACAGAACAGATCATTATTCATATGACTAACAAACCAAAACACTTACTATAAGTACTGTTAAAACACAATCAGATTTAGAGGTAGAAAGCACATTTCAAACTTAAAATTTACATGACTAGTAAGAGCCAAATACAGGAGAAAAGTATTTACAAATTCAGTAACTACTCACGTAGACGCCCAGCCCATTAAAGGGTTCTCCCAGCGCTCCCTGTTATCAAATTCCATCTTCCACTTCTTTGTATTGTTAACTCCTGACTGCATTGCATTACGTGCTGGAACAAAAATGTGAACTTTTCTGGTTTTGATGTGCTCATCTGGAACACCAGTTAGAGCAGTGATATCCTATGAAAAACACAATGGAACTTGTTAAAAAAGGGTTTGTGTAAAAGGCTTATAATACAATATTGGTTATGCTTTTTACATAATTTCATGCTTTATTTTTATTTTTTAAGTTACAAAAAAAGAAAAGAATTGCAGAAAAGTATGTTATGAGTCCAGTTGTATAATACTGAAGCAGATACGTGTTTTGCATGGATCAGTTAGCTGAACCTGCTCATCTCCCAGCCACACAACTGCTAGTGCCAGAGGAGGGACAGGACATTCCCTCCCATCCTCTGACCACAGCTGCAAAGTCAGGACTCCCCCAACTTGCACCAGCTAAAGCAAATTCAGAAGCGTATAAACTTTTCTTCCGTCTTTTAAAGAAAATATTAGAACGCAGACCAAAATATCAACAAATCCCAAAATTTTACATTACCATTAGGAGCCTAAAATCCGTATGAACAGGACTATTCACCAAAATCCTAGCCAGCCAGCTACATGCTGCAGTATAAGCGCTTTCACTTGGCCTAAGTCTGTACATAATTAAGAGGCACCAACATCCACGCTGACTCAAGAAGTTATGCTTAGCATGAAGGAAGAGGCAGGAAGTTATCTTCTGCACAATAATGTATTGATTGTTTGAGACTGCAGAGCAGGTACTAGAATTCAGCACTCTAATTTCTCTAACCATTAGTTATCACATAAAATTGACCCCGTCATCAGGTGTCAAGCTATGAATAACAGCTTTTGAGAGTTAATTCTTCAGTTGATGTTCAAGATCAAGAGAGGAATATTTGAAACTCATAACATTCTTCGGTATTTTTGTGAAGGACAAAAGGATTCAGGACATTCCAACCTCCAACGAAATAAAAAAGAAGTCTTGTAACATTGTATATAGTCAGTAGCAGGATGCCCTCCTCTACTAAGGCTTGGCTTGCGAGCCCTCAACAAACCAACCTAACAAAGATAAAAACTGAAGGATCACAAAACCAGCCTAAAAATATTAACTGACTTTAACAAAGAATAAGATAGGTAAAAACCTCACAAGAATTGCTGCGAAAAATTACCCTCAGCAGCATCTGATATAATCAAAGTGAACTTTCTTCCTAAAAACTAAACAGTAATTACATAAAATTAACCTGTCAGTTCACCCCAGTAGAGTAGAGTGAAATCAAACATCAAATCCATCTCTAAGGATGCTAAGCTGCTCCTGTTCCTTACATACTTAAAAGGCCAGTGGCAGCTCCTTGGTCTCCCTCCCTGCCTCCTCTCTTCAGGAACAAATAGTAAATTGGTAAAAGTCCGAAAAAGTGCAGCTAGACGTTGGGCATATTGAAATCATGTTGCCAGTACTGCCATGACTTGAATTAAAAGGCAAACAAGTTTAAATAAAACACTGTGGCTTTACATCTCTGTAGCTACTGACTCCATGGGATTTTGTTTTGTGGCAAACTTTAAAGCTCTGGGCGCTGTCACCAGATCATCCTTTGAAATGCGGCAAGTCTCATTTTTCGTTTTAATTCAGAAAATAAATTTTGGGAGATCAGTCCCTCAAAAATACACACGGGAGTAAGTTTAAAGCATTTGACTTGTATTTGCAGTTAGAATAGCAGGGGAAACAAATAAGCATGCACACTTGTCTTCCAACTTCTGACATTTCTATCCAGACTACCACAAGAAACTGTCAAAATATCATAACAATTCCATTATAAATGTTTTCATTAGGACCAAGTAATGTTTATTTTTAATATAAGTCTAGCAATGATATGAAAAAGAAACACTACCAGTCATTGGAATGTTGCAACACGTATGTAAAACACCTCCTGACAGACTGGCATTTCTGACTGCTGAAGCTTAAACCACAGTTTTAGAAGGAAATAGCTTAAAGTTTTCTTATTTGAATTGGCAAAGTGCTTTGTTTAACAAAAAGGTTTTTTTACCTGCAGTAAAGTTTGGTGGGGCTTCAATGTTTTAGCTTGCCTGTTTAGAGGAACGGGCTACGGTATTAGCCTTTATTTCTGTATTTAACAAACGTGCCTATTGAGAAAATCTAAGAAAAAAATTCTTTCCCTGCCTCTCAAATAATCTGCTACATGCAAAAATTCTGGGTTTGTTATCATCAAATACCTCCAAATATGCAAACTTCAAAATAGCTCAAAATTATGAATTTTTTTTTACTATTGTTATTCTCAGCAACTCATATGTCCATTATGAATTTTAAGCTTCAGATTTAGATAATTATTTGAAAGTATTAAAACAAGATACAATGTTAAATAACATCATGGACATACACAATTTCCTCTTTTGAAGCCTCCACACCAGAAAATCATAAAAATACTGCATGTTAGTGCATACAGAACACAATCTTAAAAGAGTATTAAAAAACAGAAAATGCTACATTTACAAGGTAACCATAGTAAAGAAATGCCTAGACTTGTTCATCTGGATGAAAATAAAAACAAAACTCCAGACAAACCGTAAATCCCTTCAAGCCATGTTTTTTCAGGCACTCAGTTGGCTCCAAATCAAAGTTATTTCACTAATAATATAGGATTCATCCCATAAAAATCTTTTCAAGGTGAAAACTAAAACCTGCCTACTTTCCAAAACTAAAATATCTACATGGTGTTGCTAACTCTTCATACTTTGATTCATTATAGCTAAAGTTTCCATGCCTTCTGGGAATCCGGCAATTGTTTATTGATATCTTCCCCATTTTAAAGCTGGCAATTGAACAGACAGTTGTTAGGACAATGAGTTTCTGGTTTCTGAAGCCCAAGTTGTCCTGACATAAAATCACTGGTTTTGCTTGCTGTAGACATGTAAGGTACTGTAGCATAGCTGAGCTGTTGCCAAAGATATGGAATAAAAAGGCTTGGCATCTATCACATACTTGACACCTAAAGAGCACAGAAGCTCTAAAATTCCTATTCCCTGTAGGCGCACTCTTAGTCTAGACAAACTGATTTCTCACACTTTTAAAATGCATTACAACACTCTATTGTGATCATTTCATCCACACAGCTCCAGCTAGTGACAGAAGAACCTGTCCTTTAAGCGACATTTCAATGGGCTAAAGCTCCCGCTCCAAGATGCCATTAAAACAATATAATACTTGAAAAGAACTATGCTGCACTGGGTTGAACCCTTTACTGTGTCTTCAGTGCTTTGTTCTGAGTTCAAGTTCTCATTGAAACTACCTGTGAACCAACTTTCCAAAACAAAGATGTTTTTGACAGCTGGTTTCACATTACTATCTCTTTTTTTTTTTTTTAAGTGTTCCTTACTGAATTTTGCTATATTAGCATATTAAAATACTAGTGAGGTGGTGCTCAGCATTCAAAATTCCAAATAAGGTGACAATATAAAAGACTTGAGATATGAACTGTATAGGTTTGCTTTACCAAAAGTTAACAACCATGCTTCAAATTTTTAACACAGCCTACATCTAAAAGGTGCATTCTGACACCCTGTTTTTCTTGATATATATAGAGGTAGGGTTTTTTTAATAGCAATCTCTGGATTATTTGTAATTCAAAAAATTCAGAATACTTATTTTGAGGCATTTTGGCTCGTCTTGGAATAAGCTGAGAAGGACAAAACACTTTTTTTAAACAACAGAAAACACATCAAATTGCTTACAAATTAATAGGAGGTTTTGTCTTTATTATAACTTACACTATTTAAGAACACTTGTCATGGTGGAAAGCCTGGTAAAGCTGTTCTGGAAAGAGTAGTACGAAACGATAAATGTACTATGCAGCAGGGAGAAAAACTGGTTCACAGAGGCAGTGTCAATGAAAGCAGTATTCCGCATGAAGATGACTTTTAAAGGACATGAGAATTTCCTTCTTTTAAGTACGCCAGTAGTAGCACAGACTTCAAAGGGGACAAGAAATGGAACTCTGTAATTCAAGGGGAAGAGACAAAATGACTGAAAGAATCTCTGAAAACAAGTGTTTTTGAATAGATGGGTCAGGTGTGCATAAAGGTGTCACGTTTCTTCTATGACATTTCTTTCCACACATAGATAAAAACTGTACATAACCACTATCAACTATCTACTGTTTAGCAACCCACCCCCCCCTTTTTTTTTCTTCAATAAAGGAAACAGGGAACAAGCAATGGGAAGTGGATGTCAAAACACAGAAAAACCTCCCAGCAAGCTTCCAGCAACCACCCAGGATTTAGAGTCTTGCTAGCCGCTCTCTTTTCAATACCAGAATTTCACACATTTCAATGACCATTATGACTTCAAAGAATCAAATTTTCATCATTGTCCGTCATCTGCCGGTTGATTTGTATAAAGGAGTTCTTCTGCATGCACTCCAGACAAAGGGCTCCTTACTTTCGTGGCTATATATCAAGTTTAAAAGTTCTGTTTGTGACAGTTGTGTCTGTGGTAAATTAGGGTAACACTGAAGGAGTGCAGCTGCTCTGCAGGAACCTCCTTTTTGGCATCATTTCACTTAAATAAAAACTGAATAATTAGTTTCTGCCTTTATTAAACCGCAAAAATGCCACTGGCCTTAGTAATTACTTCCGGTTGCCCCACCTACTTAACCTCAATAGTTTACACTTGTTAGAAAGGAGGGAAAGTAGAAGTTTTCTGTACTTTATAGGAGTTTACAACAGCTTGCTCTCTTCCCCACCCCCAACATGTTTTACCAGAATAAGTGTATAAAGTTTTGCTAAAATTCATGTTGCAACACACTTTCTTTAGGAGCTGTTATATCAAAGCACAGAACATCTTGCATAATAGCCACAAAAGGAGCTTTTCATTTAGTGTGCTCAGCTGCTCAGGCTGCACGTCAGGATGAGAACGTTTAGGTTCCTACACATCAATACCATATTTTTGAAACAAATGTAAGAGAACAGAATCTACTATGCAAATCAAAAGTGGAAAAATGGAGCAGAATAAACTAAATGTGGTTGGACAAGATTTATCTAACAGCTACAGATATAACAAGGGGGAAAAGGCATGTTTGCCCTTAGGAGACTATCACACAGAATACAGTTTT